TATATATTCAATTATATTATATTCAATATTCAATATATACAAATATTCAATATATACAAATTTCAATCGATCCTTGTCTTCTGAATTGGGTTCAAAATGACAAGGCTACGGAGTTGAACATTAGTAGTCCCATGAAATTGGGTCTGCTGTTCACCGACGGTGATGAAATAAAATCTATACATACCGGAGTTAACTCGGGAAAATCAGGGAAGCGGTTAAGAACACGTAGTTAGGTTAGAATTAATTTGTAATGCATGGTTTTCAAAAGTTGCTAATAATAGCAGTATTTAATCTAATTTTTATGTGCGCGAATAATCAAAAGATTAACTCTTGTATGTAAAACAAATTTTTTTAAAAACTGAATGTTTTTCTTTTTTGGTGGCAGATATTTTTGAGTTATTATTCTTACCTTTTGCACAAGCTTCTTGAAAAGCAATCGTAATAGTCTTCTGATATCTGCAACTAAACAGTTTCATTTGACACTCAGATCCGTACGTGTTACCGTCGGATCCACATACGGGGTCTTTACTATCTTCTGCTGAGCACTGAATGTCACAGATACATTGAGCATGACCTTCAATAACCTCTCTGCACTGAGCACCATGGAAGCACATGAGTTCATCGCAGGAACCACTTATAGGCTGGGCTATAGACTCTAAATGAAAAAAAAGCGAAGAACTTGATTAAAAAGAAAAAAGGGTAAAAGGATGCGTTTTATGTGATTGCGAAAGTTTATATCGATTTCATTACCATCGACGCAGCCATCAGGAGTTAAAACTGTTTTTTCTGGACATATATCACACTTCATCCCATGTATTCCTTGTTTACATACGCAGCGTCCCGTCATTTGCTCGCAGTCATCCCTTACTGAGCCATACAAGTTGCAGGTACAAGCTAAGAGATGACAAAACATGTCGATGTAATAGTCACATAATAGGGTAAAATTGAAGATACAATCGAGACATACAAGTTGCAGGTACAAGATAAGACGCTTAAAATATTCCAAGATAAAACTGGAATGGATACAACAAATACAGAATAATACATATAAGAGTAACATTGAAGTTACAATGCATCTACAGTCCCTGGCATTATTATTAGACACACTGTAAGATTCTACGTAAAATCTTCATTATCAGTTAATACTATACTGCTTTATTGTTATTGTGTGTCTGAAACCGGTTTGCACTTGTTTGCGCTCGTATATTAATTGGTTAATATTGTAATGCAATACGTTGAAAATAAATACAAATAGGATGTATACATAAAAAAAATATCCTGAGTAAAAACCTGTTACATGTATGTTTAAATATAAAAGTATTACATATAAACTCTTGCAAATCATGCAATTATTAAAAAATTACAGTGCGTCTAATAATTTCGTCTAATTATTATAATATACTAATATAATACCTGGTATAATATAATACCTGGTACCCTTTTTCTAAAAGCTGTCAAAACATGTAATTTAACGTTCTGAAATTCAGTAAAAATGCATTGAATTTCGAAATTTTTCTTGCAGGTAGCAGTTTGCAATGCAAATATCATACAATTCGCGAGTATTTTAATCGGTATTGATAATCTCTTGTTCAGGTACTTTATTTGTCGTACCAGGAAGTACGTATTATTTTACTGGGAAGAGCGAATATTCCTGTTAAAACTTTACTTTTCTTGAATGTCATATTCTCACGTTATTGAGGAGTTGCGCAATAAATATCGTGTAGTTAAAGTGACTAATAAATCAAACGCGATACAATTATTTTACCGTTTTAAGACTTCTGTATCAGTAGGTGATAGCATAAGAGCCAGTGAGACATATGTGCCAATTCAGTCAATTAAGAAGTTGCGCAAGAAATATCCT